CTAGGTACTTAACCAAACATTTTCAAACCACAAGCCTATAAACATACCAATTGTTTATGGACATTTTTATAATGCGGATGCAGGTAGGCAGCGTCTCGTATATATCGATCTAGCCATATAATGCCGAAACCACAAGCCTACTGCAGCTCTATCTATATCGGTGGGAGGTAGATACTTTATACTTCCTGTGATCAAACGGTCCAACGCCAAGCATACGAGAGGACCACAATCCCCTCTGGGTCCTTTCGTTTGTTGTGGTGCAGTCTCGTCTCTGCTAACTGTAATATTGAGCTTCTTTGGCTTCTTGTTTCCAGAACGAGTCCAATAATTTATCGCATCCAAAAATTTTGCCAAATAAGAGCTCCATCCCTTAATAATATCTCTTAAATCAGCCAATGATATGTAATTTATCATGCTGTCATATACTATTGCCTTAAGGGATGGGATCTGAAGCTCGACGAGAAGCCAATGGTTACGTTCCAAAACAGGGATAAACACCTGCAATCATAAGTAATAATTCATTCATTTGCGCACTTATTTATAATTACCTTTAAACTCAATCTAAAATAAACACTAACCTTATCGACCTCCCACCATGCAGGATAAAGTTTAGCTTGTCCATTGCCCAACGCAAATGATTCATCTCGTTGATTCTTCAAGTGAACGGCGTTAAAAGACGTCGGCATAATTGTATATCGTGTATTTCTTTTATTTTCCTTAAGTTTCCTAATTATTAGAAGACGTGACACCCACGCATCGATATGCTGTTTTAAAAAAAAGACATATATTAGTAACTTATATAAATTTACAAAAAAATAATCAAATTAAAATATAAGAAAAATATAAGACTTACCCCTCCATCGAAATAGCCATTGTCTTCGACCCCTAATAATACGCCCACCAAGACCGATCAAGCAACAAATAGATATCATCATTGAGCTTGCATATGTCAGTGAAACACCCCTGGCTTCGCTCATGTAGATAAAAATCAACTACGGTCTTAGCCCAAAGGGTGTTATCCAGAATTGTGTCTGGTAGTTGTTTCCTCTCGTCTTCAGATACCGGTATGGTACTGGCCGGTAACTCATACGAGAGCCAACTTGAATCCATCATGTCCGGCACGTCAGAGGGTTTCTCAAGAATCCTACATATGACGCCATGTGAATCGGGCTCTTGAATGGTGGGAGGGACCTCTTCAACGATGACAGTGGCCTCTTGAACGGTGAGAGGGGACTCTCGAGGAATGATAGGGGCCTCTTCAACGATAGGAGTGGACTCTTGAGGGATGACAGGCGAGTCGGGCTTCTTCTTGCGGTGTCTTCGTACTATTGGGGTATGCGGAGACTTAATAGCACGTGCACGTCGTCTGATGCGTGAACTCTGTCGTACAAGAAAAACCCGACGTAAAGCATCCACCTTATCGTCCGCTAAATAATTAAATACAAATATCAGTAAATAAATAGACATGATATTTAAACAGTGAAAACAAAGATAAATATATTTCAAACTTTCAACCAAAAGACAAAACAAAGACAAATACTAACTTCACAGTGTTAAAGTAAAAAGTTTAGCAGTTTTGGCAGCAACCGAATAAATTTACTAAGCAATCTAAGTGAAATGGTTAATTTAAGTGAAATTACGAGTAAATTTATCATCAAGTTAAATATGGAAAATCTTAAACTTACCTCGTTGCGTATAGTATGAACCTCATTCTGCAACGATACTACCATCTCACGTAGAGCGGCAACCTCACCACGTAAAGTAGACACCTCCACACGCCATGCACCATCGTTATCGAGTAGAGTACCGATCTCCTCACGCAAGGCATTGACCTCATCACGTAACTCCCTTGACTCATCCCGTGGAGGTGGAGAATAGGGAGATAGAAGTCGTGGCATCTTTGCCGATCGCCTATCATGAGGTGATGGTGGAGAAGAGGCTCGATGATGTGACGGGATAGGTGATGGCTCTCGTTGTAGAGGTGTATAGTCGGGTCGATCAGGTGATGGCTCTGGGTGAGGTGATGGCTCTCGAAGTGGAGGAAGTGGAGGTTGCTCATCATTCGTGCCATCAAGAAAACGCTGACTAGCTTGCCACCAATCAGTGGCAAGCTCAGCCTCCGTGGGTGTCAGTCTCATTAATGGAATGTTGGCCTCCTAAAAATATAAAAACTCAAACAAAGTTAAACGTCTACTATTAATAACTTGTTTATATATGATAGTATTTGTGTTAACTTACATTATTTATTGTCGCATATGGTATTAAGTCTTCCCAATCCAACAGACGTTTCCTCTTCCAGGAAAATAGCCCTGGGAATATCATTTGAAGTTTTTATTGCATATGTCTTCATGGCGGGAAAGGCCTCGAATATCCAAATCTACAAACAGTATAATAACAAACATTAGTAATTGTTAAATAATTAATTATAATTTTGAAAACATTATATAGAAATTCTTACCTTAAAGGCCCAAACAAAGCCTGACAAAGTGTATTTCGACCCATCGCCCCGCAAACTTTTGCGGTCATCAAAGGCAGACGACAACTTAGTCCAGGTAGCTTTCCATATATACGAACCCAACGGAAACAGATTCCATGCATTTAGGTCCTCTACCAATAATATTAGCTCCTGAGGAATAGGTTGTCTGGCCTCTCTGCCTAAAAAGCCGGCATACTCGGGACAACATCGACGTCATTCATCCGAGTAAAACCATCTTTCTTATTAAACAATTTCTTCATGTCGTCGACGTGTAAATTCGGCTTCTCTATTGACTCATCAGGAAAAACCCTAGATAACCATGATGGGTGGGTGATATGACGAGTGTACCGGCCTACATCATCGTGTCCGAATCGTAGACCAGTGATTAAGCAGAACTCCTTCCGCCCAAAACAAGTATACACCGGTGGAAAATGAAACCATATCTCTTCCTCACCACGTTGTATACTGTCGGGTAGATCGCTAGTCATGGTCTGAAGCCACAAATGGGTCAAACTAGCATCTCCACCCGGATGCTGTACTCTCAGCCATGGCCCGAAGCAGGTTTCTCCAAACAATTTTCTTTGTGCAGGTGAAAGCTTCGAAGCAATTGTAGTGGCTAGGCTAACTTTATTCCTTAATGTCAATGAAGCCGAAAAAAATTTCTACAAAAAAACAATAAACATACCAAGTTAGATATACCAAAAACTACACTGTCAAGATATACCAAAAACAATAAACATAAATAGTAGTTTATTCTTGAAACTAAAATTTGCAACACTGTTTTGTCTTTTGGTTGAAATGAAAATCACAACGAGATAATGAGAATCGCAACGCGAAAATGACTATCGCAACAAGAGAATCGCAACGCGAAATGACTATCGCGACGAGAGAATCGCAACGCGAAATGAAAATCGCAACGCGAAATAAAAATCGCAACGCGAAATGAAAATCGCAATGCGATTTTTGTTTCGCGTTACGTTTTTTATTTCGCGTTGCGATTCTCTCGTTGCGATAGTTATTTCCGCGTTGCGATTTTCATTCTCGAAACTATTCTTCTTCTGCATTACTTCAACCAAAAGACAAAACAAAGACAAATACTAACTTCACAGGCTAAACAGTTTAGCAGTATTGGCAGCAATCGAATGAATTTAATAAGAAATCTAAGTGAAATGGTTAATCTATTATTAAAATTACCAGTAAACTTATCATCAATCTCAATATGAAAAACCTAAAATAATGCAAAAATTTCAAAATAAAAATAAAAAAAACTAACCCTCGGAGGTTGATTTTCCATTTCTGAATGATTGTGAGGGATTTTTGACTGTGAATGGTTGTGAGGGATTTCGCCGGCGATGGGGACAGAAATCTTCGGAGATGGGGACAGATTTCGCCGTAGAGAGTGAGAGATGGAGATGGGACTGAGTGTTGTGATTTTGGGTTTGAGGTTATGAGTTGCGATTACTGTGGACGGTTCAGTTTCCGATTTATTAAGAAAAAATTCGTGTTTGGAATTTGAAAAAAAAATACGCGTTAATACGAATGGCGCTATGTAAATCGCGTTGCGAAAGTCAGAATCGCATTGCGAAAGTCAGTATCTCGTTGCGATTTTGTATTATCGCATTGCGATAGTAAGTATCGCATTGCGATAGTCAGTATCGCATTGCGATTTTTCCAATTCGCGTTGCGATTTACTTATTCGCATTGCGAATTGGAAAAATCGCAACGACACTGTAGACCATCGCAACGCGATTTCCAACTATCGCGAAATGCAACGCGAATTTGCAATAATGGAGATCGCGTTGCGAATTAGCGATCGCATTGCGATTTTGTTGGTCATTTTGACAAATCCGGAAAAAGTTGGTTAAAATCGTATATTATAAGGCATTTTTGGTCACTGAGGCGATTTTCTCTTTTAATTTTGGTAACCTATACAAATAGTATATTTTGTTTTGCGTGATTCATTTTATTAACCAATTTAAAAAATTTATTATGTTTGATCTTTTATGTAACCGATTAATACGGTTTAAGTTCCTTAACTTACGTGATTATTCATCCCTTAATTATCTTTTAACTCTTATTTTAGTCATTAAAATTTAAATTTTTTTAATTTAATTATTAAACTATAGAATTACTCTTATTTTAATAACTCAAATTTATTTTATTATTTTTTTATGACATGACATCTATTAATAACTCAAATTTATTTTATTAATAACTTAAATTTATTTTATTAATATTTTAATAACTCAAAGTTTAAATTACTTTTTATTTTAATATATTTGTATGAATGACGTAATTAACCATATTTTTAATTTAATTATTAAATTATAGAGTTACTCTTATTTTAAAAATTCAAATTTATTTTATCAGTAATATTATGACATGACATCTATTAATAACTCAAATTTATTTTATTAATATTTTATTAATAACTCAAATTTATAAAATTCAACACTATAATTAAAAATGTCATTTCTACAATTACAAAATCAACCCAAAAAACATTTCCAATTCCCTCCACGGTTTCTAATAAATCACTCTAGTTCATCCATGGATAAACATTTCAAATAAAATGTGTTATGCCTCTAATAAGGTATTTAACATGTCTGACTATAATGGTTAATGGTTTTTCTAGTGTTCCAAAAAGCAAATACAACCATGAGAAGCAGCATGCATCTGAGAACTGGCAAAACACAGATGGTATTCCATTGAAGGCTGCTCCAATCTTCTATGACCATCTGTCAAGATTAAATACAAGAATATTAAGGCATACGATAATCTTCTGATTCAAAATAAATTTCATACAAATCTAAAATTGCAACCAACAATGATGGAAGATTTGTGTTTAAGATGTTAATGCAAATAAAGCATAGTCTATAGATCAGGTTATGTTCCCATCAATTGTCCCCGTTCTCGTTATCCCTCTCCCTTTCACCTCATCGATAATGGTTTCCGGAACTATTAAGCACAAGCAGTACGCAAACTAAACTTTCGAAAAATGCATTCATATCGATATGAACAAAAAATCTTGCAGGGAAAGTAGAGCGATGATCGAACATTGGGTTCTTTACGGAATATTCCTTGAAGAATCAACTGATATGATAAAAGGATACGGTCGAAACCTACATTTGCATATGCAACACGACGCCTGAAGGACAGCAAAGCAGAGCTGCAATTCAAAAACAAAATACAACTATAAGCCTGTAATTTAGCATCCGCTCTCACATGCTTTAAATTAACAAAGGAACCTTACAAAAACTCACATAAATTTAAGATCTTTGCAATCACTGACCATCCGGAGAAGAAGCGGTGGTTTTCCATTCTTTCCATCCTTCAGAAACAAATGTTTTCCAGTTCTGCCAAACAACCATGATATTCGAGCAGCAAGTTTTTCAAGTGCATAGGATCCACCAAACAATGGAACCTGAATAATGCAAAGCCACATAAGGAAAAATATTACCAACCTGTAATGTAAAATGCAAGTGCTAACATATACGCAATTGTTTTACGCAACAGTAAAAGATTTCATATCACAGATACCTCCTATGCTAATCTGTCACCCATTACATCGACACCATCAAATGTTAATGTTGAAGAATTGCGCTCACTGCCTGCATTGCAAATTAAGTCATTAATCATTCAGTAATTATTTCATCGTGAAACCCATTAACAATATGATTATCAAAAACATTCATTTAGTGAATGGTAATGGTCTTGCGTTCACTTCTCTATCATCCAGTAAAATATTAAATATGAAAATAACACTACTTAATGAATAAACAATCAAAATTTGAACATTGTGGATCAGCCATCAGTTAGACTTATCTTCGTATAACTACTGATAGATCTAAAGTTTAAGTTCAGGTTAAATTAATTCCAATTTGCATTGGAGTGAGTTGTATTGGAGAAGAATCGTTAAACAGATAAAAAATAATAATTAAACGATTTTAACATAATCACATCATTCACATGTTAAACCTAAAAAATGAAACGGAGTATCGAAGAACTCACAATGAACAGTAACATCCTCAGGATAGTTTTTCAAAAACTGCTTTGCTGCAAATCTCCAATTCTGAGCACTGAAAAAATATCAAAATAATAATAATAATAATAATAATAATAATAAATCAATCAAGCAGTTTCAAACACATAAATAATAATAATAAAAACGATTATAACCGAGATTAACCTTCCAATGATTCCGTTAACCATGATCTCTTCTGCGTCATCAACTTCCTTCATATCCGCCATTGAAACTGAAAACAGAGCTAAGGCAACAAGAAACAATCAAAAGTACTATATTAAGCGAGATTTTTGTGAAGACTGTTGGGTTTTGATTATGAGAAAATGGAGGGAGTCAAAGATACTATGGCAAGGATTTAAAGAACTGAACAAAAAGACTGAGAACGTAGAGCGATGGCGGAACTTTGGGTTCTTTTGAGAGTAAGATTGGGATTTTGAATTGAAGGGGTTAGGTGCTAGTGGACAGCTGAAGGGAAAACACAAGAGTGACTAAAAAATATATGGATTTCATGGTGCACTGCACTTTAGTGACTAAAAAAATTAAACTTTAAGTAAAATAAGAGTGATAAGGTAGTTGAATGATGAATTATGTAATTTATCTAAAAAATTAAAAATATATTTTTTAAGTGTTACGTGTCAATTTGTTATAGGTGTAGACACTCATTTTTCGTTCGATTTTTTAGTTTTTTTATATATTTGATTTTTTTTCCGTTCCTTTAGAAAATATTTTTTTACAAAATATATATAATATAGTTTTTTGAAAATATTTTTAAAAATATATAGCTTTTGGAAATATTTTTAAAAATGTATAATATATAATTTAAAAAAACATTTAAAAAAAACATATATTATATAGTTTTTAAAATTTTTTGAAATATATATAGTATGGTTTTAAAAAACATTTTTGAAATATATATAAAATATGATTTTTAAAAAACATTTTGAAAATTATATAATAGTTTTAAAAAATTTTGAAAATATATAATATATGATATTTGAAAACATTTTTAAAAAATATATAATATATAATTTTAAAATATTATTTGAAAGTATATTATATGATTTTAAATTTTTTAAAACATATATAGTATATATTTTTAAAATAACATTTTTTTATTTTATTTTTAATTATTTTTTATTGTATATTCATTTATTTTTTTCATTTCATTTCAGGTCCAATAATGAGCCTTCTGTCCAAATCCAGTCAAACAGACCTGACCCATCCCAGATTCCAAGATAGGGTTTCTTAACTTAGTCTCAGCACCGCATGCTTACAGCCGTTAGATCAAGCAGTGATAAACGACTCAAATCGCGTGATAGCTAGGGTTCTGAAGCTCTAAATGTTTCATCAAAGGCGCAGCCAGATCTGGACCATTGGATTTGACCCAATCCAATGGTCGAGATCAAATCAATGAATATTCCAGAAGTCACACCAATAGTCAAACGACGCGAGATTTCCGATCGAGATCCCTGGGACTGACCTATCCCGGGGTGACCGGTCACAACGGCCACGAACACCCTTATTTCGGAACCGACAGACCACCGGTAGGAGTATAAAGACCCCCACCAAGCCACTGCCAAGGGGGGAGCCGAGCCAACAACAGTATACGGAGAGAACCATCGAACAGATCAACAGTACACAACAAGATCGAGAGCCACAAAAAATACTACAACGGCAAACAACAAAGGCCTCAACGAAACACATGACCAACAGTAAACAATAAACCCATCATCAGCGAGAGATCGAATCACAACACAGAGAGAGAATACACACAAAAACATCAACGAAAAAACCCTCAAGCCAACATCACAAACAACAACAACAAAATGACGACAGTGAACCACAAACCATTCGAAGCCAAATACACCGAGAGCCGAAGAGTCATCGTCGGTGAGGTAAAAAAACTGAAAATAAAACGTAGATCTACGTTTTTGGGTGCCTTCCTGTGGGATTTTGTTTACGGCTTAGTGTTGAGGAGGTAGAAGAGGTTATTTTGGAGAGGTTTGGATTTTTTCGGTCGTTGGAGCGGCGGTGATCGGTGGTTGGGGCTCGACCGGCCATTAGCCGAGGAGGGCTGGGCGAGAGTGTTCTCTCGTTTGAGAGAGATGAGTTTCTGAGGAAATGTTGAGAATGAGCTAAAAATGGGTCTTTTGGACCTTTTATATACGGGGGATTATTTTGCAATTAGAAGATATTTAAATCCTCTCCGCAGTCCCCATAGGTTTGGATCGCTTTACAACTCAGTCACCAGTTGTAAATTAGCCTCTGAATTTCGAATTTAGTCAATTTAATCCCCGCTTATATTTTCATATCTTTGTGAATTGGCCTCTTAACTTTTTACTTATTCTTTTACAGTCCGTTTATTTCTAATCCATTAAGTCCAATTTATTCCAATTTGATCCTAAGTTCTATTCTTATTTATTTGTTTACTTATTTTCATTTTACTTTTAATATTTTCTTTTCTAAAAATCTTAACCTTTTGTTATTTTTTTACTTTACTTCGTTTGTTTGTATTATTTTTAATATTTTATTATTTTATTTTTTATTATCTCTTTTTTTATATATGTCGTTATTCATCTATTTTCTTTATTTTTATTATTATCATATTAACATTTTTTTCGTATTTATTTTGTTTTTTTATCTAACATATTTTGTTTCAGTCGTAATTCCAACTAATCAAAGGGTAAGTAATTCGGATTGAATATTTTAAATTTTAATTTAAATTCTAATTTTTGTAATTAAAGAAAACCGATAAATTAATTGGTACCGAAAAGGCGGTTCAAGGGTGCTAATCCTTCATTGACCGTAACCGACTCCCGAACCCAACACGTTTCTGGTACAATGCAGATCAGGTAAGATGGTGTCCGACCCACCTAAATTCGTTTTAAAATGGTCGGTGGTGACTCTAAAGCATTTAATCCAAGTCGAAGCCCAATTTCGGGGCCCAATCGAAAGACGGTTCCGACAGCTTGGTGACTCCACTGAGGATAGGTAAGTGAGTCAGGCCGAAATTAATTTTCGGTTGTCTTTTTTAGCGAAAGTTATAAATTTAAATTTATTTATTCGATTCTAATTATTTACCTTTGATTATTTTTCAATTAAATAGTTGTACTGACGTTTTTTAATGATTTCAGATTTTTCAAAATTGTCAACTCTATCTCTATACCCGAGCTCCGAACCATTTTAAGTGGGGGCGAAAGCGACGCCTTCGTGGGAATTTATTCTTCGTATGGGCCTAGCAAGTAACCTTCGGGATTCATATACCTTATGTCTTCGTGTGAATTTATTCTCCGTATGGGCATAAGGGAATGTTTCCTCTCAAGTTTAACTTAGTCCACATAAGCTTGTAATAGGCTTAGGACTAAGGGTCTGGCAAGCCCATGGGGGCACCGACAAGGAGAACCGAGTACCTTTTTTAGAACCTAAACGGGGAGAGTATAAGGAATTAGAGCCCACCCCAAAACCTCATTCCAAACCCTAGGTTGTTTCGTTTCCTGCTTTATTTTCTGTTCAAAGCATGCGAGCTAGACAAATATGATGTTAGGATTTGTTTGAAATTAGCATGTGAGGTAGATATCATGTGGGGTAGGATTTTTCATTTTTATTATTATTATTTTTTATTATTTTCCTCACTAACTCTTTTTATTTTTTGTTCTCTTTCATTTTGTTTTCATCATTCGCATCATTTAAAAGAGGTATTGATCCATCAAAAACGTGTTTGTTAAAAATAAATAATCTGCATTAATGGACAAAGGGGTTGTAATACAAGAGATGAAAATACAGAGGACAGTCTACAAGGCGACTATCTGTCACATTCAATCCAGAAGACGTGGTGCCCACAATTGAAGAGTATATCACTCTGCTGCATTGTAAAGGACTCAGAATGAATCGGGTCTACATCAAGCACAATAAAAGTCTATCTTTGAAGAACTGACTGGCAGAGGTTGCAGGGGCAAGATGAAGGTTACTGATCTTGGGAGTCCCTTCAAAGACAACAATTGCAAAACGATAGCTGAAATTGGAGGCAATTGCTGACGAATTCAAGAAACAGACAAATGAACTTCACATAGTTCTTATCAATTGAGGGATCTAATGACATATTCGTTGGGAACAAGTTCAACAAAAGATAAATGTCAGAGATACATTCATTCAAGACTTCTTGAGTCAGTACAAAAAACAACTCAACATTTGCACGGTTCATCTAGAGAAGCCAGAACAGTTTGACAGGTTATTCAACCGGTGACAGACGAATGCGGAAGACTAGTCAACATGTCAGAAGCAGTCAGAATATTTTTGTCTCTTAAAAGATAAAACACTTTTGTCCCCAATAAGGATTATTTCTAAATAACATACACGTTTTTTGGATTAATGTCTCAAACATTGCATGCATTATGCATCTAGACATATTTTGCATTTTGTTAATTTTCTTTGCATTCGCATTAACTAACATATGCATGTCTCATCAAAAGGAACACATACTGGATACACCACCTCAAGCATTTGACACACCCCATCCGCATAACACCCGCTTGAAAAAGAAGAAAATGGAAGCAAGAATGGAGAAAATTGAGGAGAACATGGAAAAATTACAGAAAGAACTTGAAGACAAGATAAACCATAATAGTATGAGTACTCTAAATGCAATCATGAAAAACCAAGAGTCTTTGGTTGATCAGATCGTTGCCAAGTTAGTTGGCTTACAATAGACTAGTGCGCCGGGGCAAGTTCACCGGAAGGGGTAACTATATCACCTACCCCACAAGTAATTGTCTCACCTGAAATCTTACCGGAACTCCGAGGGGACCCATCTACTACAAAAGAGAAGCCCTCGGCTCTGTATTTAACCCTGAGAACAATCTAGGTTATTACTATATATCGGATTCAGACGAAGAGGACAAATCAAGGAAGATGGAGGAGAAAATCAAGAAATTAGAGGATCAAATGAAGGTAGTTAAGGAGACCATGACTACCCTATAATTGATGTTGCGGAACTCAGTCTAGTCCCAGACTTAATTCTTCCTCCGAAATTTAAGTCCCCAGAATTTGAGAAGTTTGACGGGAACAGTTTTCCATCCGCTCACATCACCATGTTCTACCAAAGATGGCAGGATATGGAGGAAACGATCAACTCCTGATTCACTGCTTTCAGGAGAGTTTGTCGGGCTCAGCCATCCGGTGGTACAACCAGCTAAGCTGGTCAAATATCAAGACCTGGAAGGACTGGCTAAGTTATTTTTGGAACAATACAAGCATGTCAATGACATAAGACCAGATCGAGTCTTACTACAAAGCATGGAAAAGAAGCATAACGAGATTTTCATGCAGTACGCACAAAAATGGAGGGACTTAGCTGTGCAAGTTCATCCACCTTTAGATGAAAAGGAAACCCGAAAGCTTTTCGTACAGACCCTGAAGGCTCCATACTTCGGACACCTGGTTGCGATCACATCAGGGAGCTTTTCAGACTTGGTTATGGCCGGAGAAATGATCAAGTCGGCCATAAAGTAAGGCAAGATTAAGGATGGGGATGCCAGTAGAAAACCTCCTATGCGATAGCGGGATAGAGAGATTAACAACATCAACCATGTCAGTAAAGGTGTTACAATCTCTAAACCAAAATCAACTGCAGTTGTGCCGTCAGGTACTTCTAAACAAGATTCTAGAGAACCCAGGAAGGAAAGGGAACATTTCGACCCTATTCTGATGACATACAAGGAACTCTATCAAACAACTACTTGACACCGAACCCATGAAGCCCCCATACCCCAAGTGGTATGATGAGAGTGCTCATTGTGAATATCACGACAGTGTTCTAGGGCACACTATTGAGAACTGTTACGCATTCAAAAGAGTCGTACAGAAGATGCGTAACCAGAACTGGATCGACTTCAACAACTTGGGGGCATCCAAGTGAGGAAGATAATTTCATCATTTGAGGCATTCTGTTTGAGTTTGTTTTTTTCCACTTTTTCAAGTTTTTGTAAGAACATTTATGTTAAATGATGACGAGCAATGAATCACATTTGCAAACTTGCAATTCTTTGAATATCAACTGAGTTAAGAAACTCTGTAAATGGTTCAAAGTTACAGATCTTTGACAAAGTAACAAGGACTTTGACCTTACCCGTAATATACCCTCAAACACCGTACCATGTTCTTGCAATTAACAAATATAACCTTTTTCCTTTCATAAGTTGCGGACAACATGATGCATCATTTGCATATGATAATTACTATATTTTTTGTTTAAGGCGTTCAATGATGATCATTATCTTCACAGATGGAATAGTCGAGTAAGCAAATCTAGTTTAGGCCAGTTGCTTGGAAATTGAACTCTAAAGATGAGATTCCTTGACTTTTATCAACACCTAGGCTATAACAGGTTCTTCTTGACAATCTTAAGAAATTAAATTCGTAAAAACTGAGCTATTCCGCTAAGGTAATTGGTTATAGAGAAAACTCGAAAGCCCTGGCTTTATGAATAGATTGTGTTCAAACCATGACATTGCTCGGACACTTGGAAACTCGGTGTTTGCTCCACTGCTATTGTCCGGTCAAAGACTTTGTGATGAGAAGAACCCTTCAGTGAACTTGATAAAACTGATTATAATGTTAAGTTATCCCTCTAAAGCAATTGGTTAAACTCCCCGGCTTTATGGATTCAGCTAGCCAGATAACAGCAAATTAAATCAAATTTATCTAAGCGAGAAATTTTCGGTAATGATGGACTAAGGGAGTTAAGGAACACCTGTTATAGTCAACTACACACGAGCACTCAAGAATTTCATTTTTAGACCGATATTTTCTGCACTGCCTTTATTAGAGGAGCCTACAAAGCTTGAACAAATGGAAGATTTCAGAGGACTGAAATAAAAGGTCTTGTAATTGATCATGTTAGTTGCGTCACTTTGTTCGTACCTAATTGAAATGCCAAAGCATGTTGCGATATTTCAAAAACCAAATGACATTTTGGGTTACCAAAACGTTAGAAAAGAGGCCAACCTAAAGCCAACTCATCCATTTGAACATTTGTCAAAGAGCTGTAACTCTGAAAGCATTAAAAGAGCTCTTGATTCCTTTTATATTCTTTGAACTCACATTTACAATTTGATTCAATTACGAACAATATTTTACAACATTTTTATCATTTTCCCTCTTAAAACAAGAAAAAGGGGAAAAACATTTTCGAACAGAACAGTCTCAGATATGAAGGGGTCTGTAAAACCCAAGCTTGAAAAAAGGATGGGGCACGATCGATTCCATGGACCAGATTGGTAGACAAAGCACGAGACTCCATCCAAGAAATAACACATAAGTCATTCATGTTGCATGCATCTTAGACATACTTAGGTGTATCACATTCATCATTTTAACATACATGATTTTTTATAGTTTTTAGAGTCAGGTTTCTACTTCAAGACGAAGGTTACTCTATTCAAAAGCACCTTTAAAGATCGATGGTTGCTTAACTCAGCAGCGAGAAGCTACACCTCAACCAACTCGACAGATTGCATGATTGACAATCAACTTCAGATGAGTTCGAGAACTTATTTAGAACAATTCATTTCGGCTAAACTCAATAACGAGTAGCAGGTTTCCTGTTAACACTTTCAAGCCAGATTTCAATTCCACGATGGAAGATATCCGGCGTAAAGAATTTATCAGTGGACCTTCTCGTGAAGAGGAGTCATCCCAAAAATCATATTACTTGGTTCAGACCCGCTCAGAGGAACCACCTGAAGAACTATGATCGGCTTAGACCCATGAAGCGAAGCCATTTTTTATACAAACTATTTGCAGTATAGCTTAAGTCGAGAAGGGCTATCTGCCAAAGACCCTCGAGTTCCATTACACTCAGCTTCGAGGGCACATCATTTATAGCATAACTAAAGGCTAGAAGGGTTATCTGTCATCAAAAGACCTTCGAGTTCGACCACGCTCAGCTCCAAGGCATATTATTTGCAGCATAAATTAAGTCAAGAAGGGTTATCTGCCAACCAAAGACCTTTGAGTTTGACTACGCTCAGCTCCAAGGCACATCATTTGCAGCATAGCTTAAGTCAAGAAGGGCTATTTGCCAAAGACCCTTAAGTTCGATTACACTCAGCTTCGAGAGCACATCATTTGCAGCATAACTTAAGTCGAGAAGGGTTATCTGCCAACTAAAGACCTTCGAGTTCGACTACGCTCAGCTCCAAGGCACATCATTTGCAGCATAGCTTAAGTCGAGAAGGACTATCTGCCAAAGACCCTCGAGTTTGATTACACTCAGCTTCGAGGATCTAGAAGGGTTATTTGTCACCAAAAGACCTTCGAGTTCGACTATGCTCAGTTCCAAGGCATATCATTTGCAGCATAACTTAAGTCGAGAAGGGTTATCTGCCAACCAAAGACCTTCGAGTTCGACTACGCTCAGCTCCAAGGCACATCATTTATAGCATAGTTTAAGTCGATAAGGGCTATCTGCCAAAGACCCTCAAGTTCGATTACATTCAGCTTCGAGGACACATCATCTACAACATAACTCAAGGCTAGAAGGGTTATCTGTCACCAAAAGACCTTCGAGTTCGACTACGCTCAGCTCCAAGGCATATCATTTGCAGCATAACTTAAGTCGAGAAGGGTTATCTTCCAACCAAAGACCCTCGAGTTTGATTACACTCAGCTTCGAGGACACATCATCTACAACATAACTCAAGGCTAGAAGGGTTATCTGTCACCAAAAGACCTTCAAGTTCGACTACGCTCAGCTCCAAGGCATATCATTTGCAGCATAACTTAAGTCGAGAAGGGTTATCTGCCAACCAAAGATCTTCGAGTTCGACTACGCTCAGCTCCAAGGCATCATTTGTAACATAGCTTCAGTCAAGAAGGGTTATCTGTCACCAAAGACCTTCAAGTTCGACTACGCTCAGCTCCAAGGCACATCATTTGCAGTATAGCTTAAGTCGAGAAGGGTTATCTGTCAACCGAAGACCTCCGAGTTTGATTGCATTCAGCTTAGAGGCAAGCCAAATTTACAATATAGCTCAAAGCAAGAAGGGCTATCTGTCAATAAATTTTTTGAGGTAGACTCCATTCAGCTCGATGACACATCACACTACTGTCCGGTTGCAATCAAGGTTTTCAAGTCGAGAAGAAGACCCGGGTTAACCGTGCCTCAGTAACAGGAACCGTTTCCCGGCAGCATAGCTTAAGTCAAGAAAAGCTATATGTCAACGAAGACCCTTCGAGTTTGATTTCACTCATCTCGAGGGCCTATCAACAACATGGTGGAGTCAAAGAACTACTTTCCAGTCGAATTCTTTGAACTAAAATGAAGATCGAGATGGACTGCAATTGAAAGCCACATCCTGATTCCGGACTACGACTTCAATTCCATATCATTTCAAGATGGACTCGACTTCGCGACGGAGGAGCCATCCGCAACTCAATTCGATAGGGAGTCGTTCTTCAACTCTACCGAGCGAAAATTTGTGTCTTTTTATCTTTGTCCTATTTTTCGTTCCACGAAAAAGGACAAAGAGGGGCAACTGTAGACACTCATTTTTCGTTCGAATTTTTATTTTTTTTATATATTTGATTTTTTTTACGTTCCTTTAGAAAATGTTTTTTACAAAATATATATAATATGGTTTTTTGAATTTTTTTTAAAAATATATAGCTTTTGGAAATATTTTTGAAAATGTATAATATATAGTTTAAAAACATTTAAAAAAAACATATATATTATATAATTTTAAAATAAAATTAAAATATATATAGTATGGTTTTAAAAAACATTTTTGAAATATATATAATATATGATTTTTAAAAACATTTTTAAAATTATATAATAATTTTAAAACATTTTGAAAACTATATAATATATGATTTTTGAAAACATTTTTAAAAAATATATAATATATAATTTTAAAATATTATCTGAAAGTATATTATATGATTATAATTTTTTTAAAACATATATATTATATATTTTTAAAATAACATTTTTTTAATTATTATTTTTATTTATTCATTTCTTTTTTTCATTTCATTTGATAACTAGGGTTCTGAAGCCCTAAATATTTCATCAAAGGCGCAACCAGATCTGGACCGTTGGATTTGACCCAATCCAACGGTCGAGATCAAATCAAGGAAGATTCCAGAAGTCACACCAACAGTCAAACGACGCGAGATTTCCGGCCGAGATCCCTAGGACTGACCAATCCCGGGTGACCGGTCACAATGGCCACGAACGCCCTTATTTCAGAACCGACAGGCCACCGGTGGGAGTATAAAGACCCCCACCAAGCCACTGCCAAGGGGGGAGCCAACAACAGTACACGAAGAGAACCATCGAACAGATCAATAGTACACAACAAGATCGAGAGCCCAGTTGAGGAGGTAGAGGAGATTATTTTGGAGAGGTTTGGATTTTTTCGGCCGCCGGCGGTGACGGTCGGAGCGGCGGTGGCTGGGGCTCGACCGGCCATTAGCCGAGGAGGGCTGGGTGAGAGTGTTCTCTCGTTTGAGAGAGATGAGTTTCTGAGGAAATGTTGAGAATGAGCTAAAAATGAGTCTTTTGGACCTTTTATATACGGGGGACTATTTTGCAATTAGAAGATATTTAAATCCTCTTCACAGTCCCCATAGGTTTGGATCGCTTTACAACTCAGTCACCAGTTGTAAATTAGCCTCTGAATTTCCAATTTAGTCAATTTAATCTCCGCTTATATTTTCATATCTTTGTGAATTGGCCTCTTAACTTTTTACTTATTCTTTTACATTCCGTTTTTTTCTAATCCATTGAGTCTAATTTATTCCAATTTGATCCTAAGTTCTATTCTTATTTATTTGTTTACTTATTTTCATTTTACTTTTAAATATTTTTCTTTTATAAAAAACTTAACCTTTTGTTATTATTATTATTATTTTAATTTACTTCGTTTTTTGTTTTTTGTATTATTTTTAATATTTTATTTTTTATTTTTTATTATCTCTTTTTTTAAATATGTCGTTATTCATCTGTTTTCTTTATTTTTATTATTATCATATTAACATTTTTTCATATTTATTTTGTTTTTTTATCTAACATATTTTGTTTCAGTCGTAATTCCAACTTATCAAAGGGTAAGTAATTCGGATTGAATATTTTAAATTTTAATTTAAATTCTAATTTTCGCAATTAAAGACAACCAATAAATTAATTGGTACCGAAAGGGCGGTTCAAGGGTGCTAATCCTTCCTTGACCGTAACCGACTCCCGAACCCAACACGTTTCCGATACAACGCAGATCAGGTAAGATGGTGTCCGACCCACCTAAATTCGTTTTAAAATGGTCGGTGGTGACTCTAAAACATTTAATCCAAGTCGAAGCCAATTCCGGGGCTCAATCGAAAGACGGTTCCAACAATAGGTAAGAGGGTTCCACATCATCTTCCCTGACGGAAATAGGTATACCCATTAACGGCAGAAAACATTATATAGTTAATCGAGAATTTTTAAATTTTATGTATAAAACTAAGAAACGGGTATTGTTCTATGAATGGGGTAATTAACCTTTTAACAAAATCAAATCATTTTTCTGGAAGCTTTCTCATTATGAAAAACGTTTAACGTCAACCCATATCTTTTTCAGTCCCCACCCGCATTCTCATCAACACCAAAAGAAGAATGTTGCTAGCATGGTTTGTTTTGCACGGACAATAAGTTTTCACCCTTTGTTGTAATTATCAGCGTTGTCAATTAAGAAAAAAAAAAGACAGGACCGATCAAACGTAAAGATCAAATTTCCTTTCGTTAAAGAATGAATCAGGTTCTTGGTGTTGCAGGAGAAGTAATCTTCTTTTGTTACCAACAACATTAAGTCCGACCCTTTCTTGTACTTAAAGACTACATCAAATAATCAATTCTAAACAAATTCACATGAAAAATATAGATAAATGGATATATGCTTAGAGAGTGTCAATGACTTGAAATTTTATCCTCTCAAATCAATGATTGTTATTTTAGAAGGATTGACAATCCAACCAACTTTACGACCAACGTATAACTTGTAATCCTTAGTTGAAGTGAGAAAAAGAAAAAAAAAAAAACACCTTAAGCTAGAGAGAAGAATATATATATAGTGGCAGATTCAGAAATATTTTTTAGGGAGGCACACATAGGCTAACAACATAAAATTTTTGAACGAGCGAGAACAAATAAAATTTCAAGTGGGACACCATCAATAAAATAAGGAATTAACCGAAAAAAATTTAGTTTCAGGATAAATACAAATAAAATTCAGGGTGAACACAATCAATAAAATAAAAATTAATCAAAGAAAATTCAGATTTTATGTCCACCTCAAGTAAACGTGGCTCCGCCACTGTATATATAAAATAGTCGTTGATCAGTTAAAATAGATTAAAGATTGAAGTTTGGTAAGGGATATATATATATATATATAATAAAGGGGAGTGAAAGGAGGAAGTTGCCATTGTAAAAGCATGGAAATGGTGAGTTCTTTGGGTGGAATTTTATAATTAATGGAATAGGTTGTTAATGGAATAGCAAAGACGATTGATCGGCCGTCGTTATTTTTTGGCTATTTGAGTTTTTACACGTTGTGAACATGCAGGTGATTTTAATGCCAAGTCAGCAACAATTAACGTTAAGGGTGTTAATGAATGATGAGAATGGACAATAGACTGAATAATAGATTAAGGATGGGCATGGCACAGGTTTGGGTCGGGTTTCAACCAATCCGACTCGATCCTAAAATTTTATATCCTTCACCCGACTTGACTCGATCCGAAAGATACATACCCTCCACCTGACCTGAATCTGACCCGATTTTTTAAGATAAATCTGAATATGATTCGACTCGACCTGAAATAATAAAAAATATTATTTTTATTCAATAAAAATAGTGATTTAATTAAAAAAATAATATATAGAGATATTATTATAATTATATCTAAATATATAAGGTAAAATTATTTTTTCTGGGATCGGATTGGATCGAGTATTTTTTACCCTTAAACCCGAATCCGATCCAATCCAAACGTCATCTTTAAAAAATCCAATCCGACCCAATCGAGTTAAATCAAGTTGTAACCTATCGAGTTCGGGTCCCATGCCCATTTCTAAAATGGGTTGATGTTAAACTTTTTTGAAAGAAAAAACTTGCAGAAAGATAAGTTGATTTTGTTGTTGATTGAATAATGGTCAGTGGTGGAGGTGGCACGTCATTATGTAGCACGTCAGAGTTGGTAAGGCTATATTGCGAGTGGAGAGGCGAAACTGCGAAAGGATCGTAGGGAAAGTCTCACCGAACATGTTTCGTGAGAGCAACTCGACGGGATTCTTCAAGCTTTGGAGGTTCAGAGATTTGAAGCTCTCATACAGTAGCAACGAAAAAGACATGTTCGTCTTCTTAAACCATCACTCGTCTTCTTCGTCGTCGTTGAAAACTGAGAAGAAAAGTGAAAAAGATATAAGAAATCAAAATTGAAAGTAAGTGAAGAGAAACTGAAGGCGAAGAAGAGCAGTAAAACGCCATCACCTTCATCTTATGAAAAGCTTACGTTAAAATTTGAGCACAAAGGAAAGGGGTTAAACGACGATCATATTTGTCGTATAAGCAAGTCGAGTTTTTCACTAACGTAGTGGCTTGAGCAGAAATGTTCATCTATATTTAATTTTATTTCTTTTTTCTTTTGTAAACCTCGGGAGTATAGTATTTAATGCTATTGTAATTTTGAAACACCCGAAGTGATTGAAATTGAAGTAGCATGAGGTTTTATTGTTCATTATCCTCTTTTGTAAGTTAGGGAAGAATAAGAAAGAGAAGAAGAACCCTAATCTTGATTTTCACCCAAGAACCCATAGAGCTAGTTGACTAATGTGGTGTTTTTAGAATATTTAATTATCACGTCAGACATCCATTAATAGGTTAACAGATGTTAATGTCTAGACCTGTAACTGAATCGAACGAACATGAATGAATGTACGTTCATGTACGTTCATTTAACTTTAATTGAACAAACGAACGAACACGAACAACTAAACGAAAGGAATTTCTTGTTCGTGTTTGTTCATTACGAAATTTAGCTTGTTTGTGCTCCTTCATGTTCGTTCGTTAAAATGATAAATGAACATAAATGTGAACGTAAACGAACACAAACGAATAAACAATAAACAAACGATAATAAAATTAATTGGATTTATATTTGAGAAAAGTTTTTTTCTTTCCAAAATAAGTGTAGGATTTATATTTTCTTTAATTGATTGGAGTTTTTTTTATTTGAGTTTAAAATTAATTGAGTTTAAAAATATTAATGAGTTTAAGGTTAAA